CCTGATATCAATCACTTTGGAGGAGGCCCAGGCCCAGCAGTGGGATGTAAAAAGAGCTGAATGAGAAAAAGTAGTAGATATAAAATAACAAGTTAGATAGCTATCCCTGTTGCACAAGATAAATCGTGGTTGCTTGGCATTTTCGATCTGAATTTAAAGCTAGTCTTAGGATTTTTGTATTCATCGCAATAAATATACAGCGTGGTTGGTGTCGCCTCGTGAGCGTAATAATGAATCATCCTATACTAGCGATATACTATGGCCTTTGGTCAGGTATTAACTTAACCCACCGTGACTTTAGTTTGCCGCACTTTAATTTTTTTCCAATATGAACTAACATTATTATTTAAAAATTACTTATGTATAAGTAACTAGCGACTCACTTCACTTCACTTCGTTCCTAGTTACGTTTTAACGTTTACTATAGATTTCTGAGAGATGAGATATTTTCCCGCAGTAAAAAGTATCCTATACCCGGATAGCCAGCTATCATCATGCCAAATTTCATCAAAGTCCGTCCAATGGTTTTCTGGTAATGTGTACCCAGACAGACAACTAAAAACTATAGATTCGGCTTTCGTATCGATAATAATAATTATCACAATAAGATTTTCCAAAAAATATGTAATGTACAGATTCGACTTAGAATTTTATTATATGTATAGATAGATAATGCCCATCTACGTCAACATTTTGTTTAGAAATATGAATGGGTCCTCCATGGTGAAATAACTCATTCAGTAATAAATAATTATTAAAATCCATTCGCAATTGTACGGCAAAAACATGAAGACACAGTAACTTATTATATAGTTAGTTATAAATTCGTTAGTTTGTAAGACTGAGTGAATCTCTTCACGCTGTAACAGCTCTACGGATTTAAGTGGAAATTGATGTTCACAAAGTTTATATTTTGAATTAACATATAGCCTTTTAACGAGTTTTGTCTTTTCCTATTTCCACTATGCAAATAAAACTGCAAAGTAATTTTCCACGACGACATTATTCTAAATTAATAATAGCTATATACCGTATGTTAACGAGCAACGGTGTGCGGCAAATAGGTGTATGTAATAAATAAACATTTAATCGTAGATCGATGGGAAGAAGTACTAGCTGCGAAGTTCTGCTAATGTGGCTGTTATTTACTAGGCATGCCAAATTTATAATCTGGGAAGACTAATTTTAAAAGTTCTTTTAGATTTGAATATTTATTTATATATACTACCAGCTGCTCACCCACGTTTCGCTCGTGTTCTTCCGATACGTTTTAACGGTTAGTATGGAATAGATAGACTGACTATCCATACTTAATATTATAAATGTGAAAGTGTGTTTGTTTGTTTGTTTGTTTGTCTGTCCTTCTTTCACGTCGAAACAGAGTGACGGATTGGCATCATATTTTGTGTGAAGATAGTTGGAGCACTGGAAAGTGACATAGGCTACTTTTTACTGCGGGAGATTTTCTCATTCCTAAGGAAAACGGTGGCGGAATGGCACGGTGGTCGTGGGTTTGGTTCCTGCCTTGGTGAAAGTGACACGAAGTGTCTCGAAAAAGACGATAGCGCAGAATCGAATGTAGAATATATCAGTGCAGTAGGATTTTTGCAATAATGAATTTTCAATGTAATGATACTGAAAATTTAAACTTCAGCGTCGCACGCTTAAATATTTAATCTTATATGTGCATATATTATTTCTTTGTTTTTTAACTTAGGTATAGAACCCTCGATTTATGGCTGACGTCAACAATTAGGTATAACGGCAGGAATGAAGTCGATATCTCGATATTGATGAGGACATAAATATTTCCAGTTAAATATTTACTTGTAAACCTTTTAAAAAATTACAATTAGAAATATAAAGCGAGTTTTACACAATATGTATATGAAGACGAAAGTATCAAGTCGAAAACAAATGGAGAGGAAAGTGTCGTAAGGTGAATTATTTAGTGGCTTACAGGATTTAGTCATCCATCAATGTGATAAAAGAAAATATCGTATTTTACGATTTTACACAGAGTTTAACTGTAGTTTTAAAAATCATCTGGTTTGTAAAGAAAACATGACACCTTTGTAGCTTTTATATTATGTAAGTAATCGCATTTCTAAAGGAAATTTTAATAATTTTTTATATCTATTTGTTTTTTAGCAATAATCTGTCAAAGTAACGCATGTTAAGAAGCTATGACCAATTAATTGTTTTTTTAATGAATAGTTCATATTTTAATCATACTTTGATATGTAATTTAAAAAAAATATCTCGAATGGTAGGTACTTTTTAAATAAAAGCTGTAAAGCATTCGAAACGTCGGAAATCAAAAATCTAAATAAATCCGCGAAATAATCCGAAAAGATAGTTTTATTTAAAATGTCAAACATTCGCGTAAATCTAAGAAAGTATTATCGAAAGGTACTTTTGAAGTGATTGTGATAACGATGTAGCCTTTTTTAGGTAAAAATCGATTATAAGTATGGTCAGACAAAAATTGTAAAAAGTATTGAAAAACCAAATAAATGTATCTAAAACAGAAAAAAATCTAAAAATACAACGACAGTAAACATATCAATTAATATGTTATATATATATATATATATATATATATATATATATATATATATATCTATCGAGCGTGATGTGTAAAGAAATGATGTAAAACCCGTGGGCCTTTTTACTGCTGAAAGTTTCAGATTCGATTCGTTGAAACAATTAGGAGGGATGAAAATTGATCATGGAGTCGCTACATTTTGTCAAATATTTACTATATTATTATTGGTGTATATTGATGAATAAATTTAAATTTTGTAATTTCTGATGCCTGTTTCAGTCCTTTTTACGGTGCCACTACTAGGAGTGGGCCACACTTCAATACGAGGGGAATCAGGCCATAGTCCACCGCGCTGGCTGTGGTGCGAATTGGCGGACTACACATGTCTTTAGAAAACTTGCTAGTTTTACTCAGGGATGCAGGTTTCCTCCTTCTACGTAGGACAAGGGATAATCACGTTAAAAATGATGTCCATATGAGAATATGAGAGGGTCTCGATCCGATATTAGAACCCACTTAACTTGGTTTCCAAAGCGAGCACAATACTACTGGGTAATACGGTTAATACGGTCTAATACGGTTAGTATAATTTTAAATCGTGCACCTTCAGATGAGCTATAGCTAAAAGTGTGCGAGTGTTAACTGAAATTCTCAGTCACACGCCGTAATTGCTTAAGTTGGGTACATGAGTTTTGGAAGTCAATTATTTGTCTCTGAGATTTAAGATTTTATCAGTAATCTTCTAAGTTAGCGCAGTGTTCTTTTGTACGCTTTTACTTATTAAAGAAAAGCTTAACATAATTATTACTTAATTAAAAATGCTTTTGAAAATCATTTTGAAAGTAATTATAACATCCTAACCTACCGTATAAAGAATCATCAAAATTGGCCTAAAATTGACGAAGACATGACTTAGCTATACAAAAAAATCATTCAATCAACTATCAGATATATTTTTTCAAAAGTTGCCAAATATATATTATTAGTAGAACACGCGGCTTCATTTGCGCTAAAACTACAAAAAATAACTCTAAAAAGGTAGGTTTCATACACACTTTCATGCCCTATTTAAATGAAACCCCCTATGGGATGAATTTCGAAAAATTCTAAAAAAAGGAATTTATATAATTGTATTGTAGAGCAATAATACCAAGTTTCAAGTAATTATGATCATAAATATTTTTTTAGGTTGTATTATAATGTGTTTTTCCATGGGAATCATATAGGCTTCTATTAGTAAAGTAATAGTTCGTAAATTTAACTTAAATTACATTTAAAAATAGTGATAACATTCGGTTACACACTGTTTTTTGTTACATTTTACATCCATTTCTATACATACATATAATAAAATTCTGAGTCAAAAAACATTAAATATTCATACAATCTATAGTTTTTAGAATTTTTGTCTGTCTGTCTATCTGTGATCGCATCGAGGAAACGACTGGACAGATTTCGATGAAATTTGGTTTTAAAACTTAACCCGGGTTAACATATATAATACTTTTAACTGCAGGAAAATATCTCATTTTTGAGAAATCTATACTAAACGTTGAAACGTATCGCTAGTTATGCTATAAACAATGTATGTATTTTGATGAAAATATATTTTATATTTACTATATATTCTTTTGTTTTACATAGCTATTGTTATATACTTCAAGAAAAATGAGTAACGACTTTTATGTACATTGAGCAAAGTATTTCCATCATGGCTTCACTTTGTAAACTTTTTACAATTCATTTACTGTAGTTCTTGCAAACGTTCAAAGTCACTGGTTAGTTAATGAAAGTTTAAATAAAAATCAGCAATGTAGAGTCTTGATCGAAAGAGAGATAAGAGACATGCGAAATATTAACGCCTTGCATTTACGTTCCAACAATACGTTCATATTTTATAATAGAGATTATGGGAAGCGATTAACAATGCCACAGTCTAATGTATGGGAAACTGTAAAGAATCAAGAGAAGGTATTTATACAAACTATCAAAGTTTTCTGTTATGTAGATATGATATTTAAACTACGCAACGCCATTCATTGTAATTTCATTTAAAAATATTGAACTGATAAAAAAATTGACCTTTTAACCTCTCAATCGAATATGTGATAAAAATACAGAGTCATAAGGGTATTAAAGCTAATTATATATTATACAAGTGTAGTTCGTACAAGTCTCTATTAAAACTTAATTAAATTTTGAGGAATGCAACACGGCGCACCGACGTACGCTGCGGAAGTGTTAAAACAATTATAATTATTTTAGTTTAGTGTGTTTGAATCATTAATACACATATGCAGGTAGCGCAGCAAGCTAAAACAATATATGGGTTAACTACTTCGTGTAACGACAAGCAGAATGTAGAGCGGGTAACTTTGATAGCGTACCGTATCAGTACATGGCAGAACCGGAAACCATATCGCTTGCGAAATGTAATAAACTGTGAACTAACCTGGAATCGAACTTGTGACCGTCGTCGAGGGTGCCCGTATAGTGCATAGTGAGCATATCGCCATGTTTGGACTTGGTGGTGCATCCTTCAGGAACGCTGACCACGTCGACCTTGAGTTCCTTGACCTCAGGACCAGCGAGTGTTGCTCCGGCAAACGCCAGCACCGCGAGTATACAGCGCAACGACATTGTGAACTTACGAAAAGTTGTATAGTTGAGAGGACACGTGCGCTCTACACGACCGCTGAGAATCAACTGAGCTAAGCGGTTCCGCTAACTTGCTCTAAAGTTTACTGGTCGCTGCTGCATTGGCTAAGAACTCTTCCGTCTCGCTCTAACCTTGTTTGTTCTTACATTAGAAAGAGACAACCATAGATCTGTCAGTTCAAATGTGGTGACGCGGCGCTTCTTCAATCCCGCCACGCGTGCGATGACGTCATCTTGTTCCACGCGTTCCACTTTTACTCGAAAACTTAAAAAATACAATGTTTAAGTTTCCTTCCATGAGTCAAGGACAATGATACGTGTTAGAGTTGAAAATGAAACGGATGTAGATATTACTATGTAGAGCGTTATATGTATGTAGATTTAGAAAGTCCTTTATTTAAAAAAAAATTAAATATTATAATATATGGAAATTGATTTATTTGGATATATATTTGCTTTATTATCGCTGCTGAATCTAAAAAAGTGTATTGAAAAAAGAATTTTCTTAGAATGTGTAGGTGTTTTTGAAAACATCAAAGAGTTAAACGATTATAGAAAGTATTTAAAACCAATTTTCCGTATATAGCGATACTGTAGGAACCATTAAGCCTTTTTTTGCCATTTATATGGCATTTAAGTTTTTTATCGTAACTAGTTGTTCGATAAGACCACGTCAGCTTTCAATATAATAAAGTGAGGTTATTTTTAAAGTTTTAAATGATTAATAGAGTCGGTCGAACATTTATTTTTCAATTTTTGAATTTTCTTGATGATATTAAAAAAAATTAAAACTTATTTAAGACATCAATATTATATATAATAAAATTCTGAGTCGAATCTATACTTTAAATAAAACTATCTTTTCGGATTTTGTCGCGGATTTATTTGCATTTTTGTTTCCCGACGTTTCGAATGCTTTACAGCAGCCATGGTCACGGGAGAGACGGAGGTGTTAGATGTCTCTAAGGTATTATATAGTTGTTACGGACAATCTATACATTAAATATTTTTTGAATTTTTTTATTGAAATAGTTATTCCGAATCTATAGTTTATAGAATTTTTGTCTGTCTGTCTGTCTGAGAACGCATTACCAGAAAGCTACTGACCTGATACTGATTTTGATGTTTGGTATGATGATAGCTGATTATCCGGGTCAACATATAGGATACTTTTTACTGTGGAAAAATATCTCATCTCTGAGAAATCTATACTAAACGTTAAAACGTTCGCTAGTATATTTATATTTTTATATACAAAAATAATTATTATTATTACTTTTGCCAACGAAGGAAGATAATGATAAAGTGACATCAAGGTAAATCAACATTAATCCGACAATGTATTTTTTCTTATATTTTAAAATGCCAATAAATATATTTTACATTGGCTATGGGTTTCATATTACAGTAGCAATGCTTTGATGTTATTTCTACAAGTTTTTATTTAACTTGCAGCGTTTGTTACTTTGTATGTATGTTTGTTCGGGTCAAATCTTACAACAGAATTTTAAAGCAGTTATCCTGAACCGATTGAGATGAAATTTTATATTAAAATTCGTTAGATAAGTGACGTTTTGCTAAATTCAACATGGCGGACTCCCAACGGGGGACTATGTTTTTTATGCACCCCCATGATATGGATATCAAATGAAAAGGTTTGCTGAGAAGAATACGAATAAATACCTAAAAACGAAATATAAACTAAATTAAATTTAACTTATGAAATAACTGAGTGTGAGCCGCTAGTCTTTAAATTAAAAAATGCCAATAATAAAGATGTTTTAAATGAAAAAAGTATATGTTATGATGCCATTCAACAAAGAGGCATTTTCTTTTTTTTTCTTTTCGAGCCTAAAGCTTAGTTTGAGTGGTCGCTCGAGAGGCGTTGGCGCCACTATCGCGAAAAACGCGTTTTATTCAATATTGCCAGCCTAAAATATTTTAAGATATGAATATCTAATAGGTAAATATGTATTTTACGTATCGAAATATATTAAATTTGTTTTGCATCGGCTGGCACCGACTTCGAAAATATCTGATTAGGTATTTATTCGAAATGAAAACCTCCGTTTAGTTATTTTTTACATTTTAGTGCCTGGAAGTCGGTTTTTATTTTTTGTTAAAAAGTTTTTATTCATTTAAAACTTTATATCTAAAATTAATACTTCTCGAGTTATCGCACGATAAAATTGCATGTAAATGAACGGTTAGGAAGATAATCGCGAAAAACCGACGAAAGTTGCGTTTGTGTTAAAATAAAATATATACAAATATTGAAACCTTTCAAATGTAAATTATTGTATTGCGTGCTTTAAAGGAATTACATAATAGGTACCTAGTATAGACGTAAAATGGATTTTGTTTTACACTCGTTAGGAACATATTATATATATGTACGTACCTGTAAACTATTTAAAAAAATATATGGACTTCTTGACGTGGTTGTATCTCAAGCGTCTGGCAGTCCAGCCGGGCGCGAAGCCTAAAAACTCACAGGGAGGTGGCCCACTTCGGTGAGCGGTGTACCATACGGATTGCCCCTGGTACTTTTCTTAAAAAAACTGAGTGGACTGTGGGAACAACTCCTTGGTTTTGAAATATGTAAAAAAATCTAAATCTCGACAACTGCATCCCAACCGGGCCCAACTTTACCTAAAAACCGTCCAATTGGAATCATTAAATTTGCAAAAAAAGTTCATCAAAATCGTTCAAGACATTCTTCGGTCAAGAACTTCGACGCAATCACAAACATAGACACACCGGAATTTTATATTATATATAAAAACTACGAGTTGAACGTAAATAATTACTAAAGAAAGCCGGGTCATTGTGAACTGCCCGAAGCGAGAGCAAATCGCTAGTTTTAAATGAAAAGTGGTAAAACTTTTTGTACGTCAGCGCTGTCACCGAAATGGCAATGCGAGCGGGTATTTGCTTGTTAGTTGGTCAAACTGTGAAACAATTCCCATGCAATAAATTGATATCGAACGAAAACATTTTAAATAGATTTGGTTTCAGAATATTCTGGCAATATACAAACCACTATATCGCCATTTTATTATAGTATTTAGTTTTTAACCGACTTCCAAAAAGGAGGAGGTTCTCAATTCGTCGGAATCTTTTTTTTAATGTATGTTCACCTCGAAGACGTCTGTACCGATTTGGATTTTTTTTGTTTCAAAGGGTATACTTTCCAGGTGGTCCCATATAAATTTTATCGAAATCGGTCGAGCGGTTTTTTTAAAAAATCAACAAGAAATTTTTTTTTAAATAAATTGTATTTCGATTACGTTCTAGTACACGCTTTCCCTCTTGACTTTTCGCTAGCAAAATACTATCTATAAGAGAACTAGAACTAAAAACGAAAGAAGAAGCTATGGATGTGCCTGATGTACAAAAATCTTATAGAGCAAGATCCCGTGAACCTTCGTCGACCTTCGTTAGTCCGCCAACCCGCACTTGGCCAGCGTGGTGGATTATGGCCTCATCCATGTTGATCCTGATATTGAAGGGAGGCAAACCCCCAGCAGTGGGACGTTAAAAAGGGCTAAATACATGTAAAATTGTGGTGTGCTATAAATAATATTTGCATTGTATTGTACTGGACCAACAGAATGTCACCATGAAACTATAAAGGTTTCATGTTGGTCAATTATCAACTGAAACAGCGATAAACTTAAAATAAACTTTAAGCAAAGTGCCAAAGCAAGCTCTCAATTAATTCCAATTAACACATGACTGTCTACAATACTATGTTACGTGATATTTTCGTCGATTGTGAAAAGTTTATACGTTCAACTCAAGTAAAAATGTATATGTTTGTGTATGTTAGTGAATAAGCTACGTCACGTTTAATGCGTGTTAAATAAAGATTAAATAAAGGTGAAATATTTTTTTTATAATCTCTATTGCTTCTGGATTAAGCCTATATCAATATTTTTAATGTAATTTCTTTTTTATTAAGAAAATAATTATTAAAAAATGCAAATATAGATGGAAAATTCAAAGTAGTTGAAACGCAACGCCATTGGTCAAACCGATTATGACGTCAGAGTACTATAATAACAGAGCGATTGGCAATTTTGTCGCTTACAAATTCAGTCGTCATTTCTGTGCGTATATCATACTATGACGTCACGCCATATATATTTAAAAAAGAAATTATACTTAGTTTTTTGGAGCTGGGTGTTTTTTTTATCAATTATATAATGATGTCAACGATTGTATATATAAACAAATACTATTGGCTGGTATTGGCTGGACGGATTTGTATGAGTAGAAAAATTATGGCCTGGAGTAACACATAGGTAAATTTTAAGCACGTAATTAATACAACCTTTCACTAAAACACAATGTGGAATAATACTCCATACAATTTCTAATTTCGACCGTCCGCCATAAAAACATTGAGTGCACATGTTAGTGTTGGTTTGTACATTAATTTTTTTTTAATTCTATGAATGAAGTATAAAGTATCGAACAAAGCGTGTTTTGACGTGTTTTGATTTCAACACGACAGATTCTCACTGGTTCGCTTTAATATACATAGGATATCTGTTCAAGCTCGCTTTTGGGTGACTGGACACTTTTAAATATTTAGAATTTACCTGTTGAATTGTAACTATATTAGTACTATTTCTTATCTAGTATAGATGATGATGATCTTCCTTGACGTATCCGTCAATGGAAAACCTTGTTCGCACCGGATATGTCGATGGCTGGCGAACCCAAACTTTGTGAAAATGAAAATAATCAGTGCTTCTATGCCACTAAGTTTAGTGAGTTTTAAAAAAATATAGATACTGAGTTACTAAAACTTTATATACTGCTCGTATCGTGGCTTCGAACCCACGATCTCTAGAAAAGGTAAGCTACAAGCTAGTTCGATCATACACTCAAAACTTTAATTTCTTCAACCTTAAAACTTTAATCAAAAAGTACACACCTTAAATACTACTAAGTACTACTTTAAAGGGGCGTTT